GAATCAAAAGTGGCTTACAAAAGATAAAAGGAGCTTTGACGTTCAATTGTGAAACATGCAGCAGCACAAAATTTGTATAATAAATACTTGGGCTTCAGGTTGAAATTAAGTTTTTAAAGCAATTACTAATACAGGATATCCTTGGGAGGATTGACATTTAGGGAAGGCAAATTTAAATCAGCGTCTTGAGCTGCTTTTACCACTATGCATCCTTTTTTGATTCGCTAGTTCCACTCAATATCCTTCTCTTATTGGAAACCCAACTACTATATGCAATAAGAGTCGGTATACGTTGTAGTAGTGGTGTTTTAAAAGCTATCTTTTGCTTACCTACGGAAGAACAGACGACATATTCTTTAATTCCTTTTTTGCAACTTCTTCTGCTATCTCTGGATGTAAATCGATGCTTCGCATTTATTTCTCGGAGTTACGGTATTTTTGTTTAAATTTGATCACTTTACAGAAGTTATAGCTGCGCAGTAGAATATAGTGATTTTTAAAATTTTATATGGCTGTTGACCCAGTAAAAGGGGAAAAACTCATGGATCACGATTTTGCAACCACAGTCTGTAAACCGGTCTACCATCTGTTGTTTTACTTGAGTAAGAAAATCCAATTTCAGCAAATCCGACCTAAATATTACACTATTCTGCTTACACCTAATTTGATGGGAAGTTTGAGTGGTTAATTTTTCTAGCAAATTCCGTGACCAGTCTTATATCTGCTTCTCTCAATTTTTCCTTTGAAAACAGAAACTTTACAGGGCTTTAAATTTAAAATGAAAATCAATCTAAATTTCATTTTTGGTTTGTGCTGTAAACCAGCCTTACAGCCTTTTTTAAAGATAAACTGGGAAGGAAACCGGAAAGTCATGATTTGTCATGGGTTTTAAAGTACTTTTGATAGATTTGAAATTTGGCAATTTGAACTTACGCTGAATACACACTTTTGAGTAAATAGCTTTGCCGAAAAAAGGGAAGTTACAGTTTCATTTAAAGAAAATGAAACAAGAAGGAAGAAAATTGCATGCTTAGGCGAAACATTCTGAAAGGACTACTTGTCAATTTCTTTAGATATGATCTGCTTTTAGCAATTTTTACTCAATAATTTCTATTTCCGAGGTACCGCAATGTGCCACTTGGATATATAAGGAAAACTTTTTTAGAAATAGCAAGAATTCCTTGCCATCACAATTTAAAGCAATATTTAATTTCAAAGTTGTAAGTCCTTTCTTTTCGTGGATTTTATTTCGCGTTTTTCTTAACATTTTGTGCAAATTTGATTAATCATAGAAGAACTATAGGTTGTGTCAATTCCATTATTTCCTCGTTAATTCTTCCCTTTATTAGCAAGTACAAACGCTACTTTTTATGGCGCTTGAGAAAATGTGTCATCTCGTCCAATTTATGTCATTGCTACTGTTTTCGACAATAGCGTCGACATTGTGAAACATTTATTACTTCGCACACTTTAGAAAGTAGAACACATCGCAAGCGCACAATCTTATACGTAAAATCTTTTATTCAAAGCAATAAAAAAGAACACTTGAAACATTTTTCCATATAAAGATTTCATATAAAGTCACGTTCTAAAAATACATCTGGCCTGAGATTGGGCAGTGATTGTCAATATGGTATATAAGTATGAATGGAGGAGTAGGACACAGACACACACACATTCTTTCTGGATTATTTCGTTAAAAAAAATCAGAAAATCAGAGTAGAAATTGAAGGCGAGACGAAGAATATCATGTTTGGCAAGCGTCGAGGAGCAAATGCGCGCGTACCCGAAGTACAAACGAAAAGGAAGAAGAAGAAGAAGATGATGATGATGAAGGAGAGAAGGTGCTGAGGAGAAGCGCCTCAACGAGGATATGAGGCATATACGCTAGGGTGATGAGATGCTCATATGGAGTGAAGTGGGTTTAGCTTTTTCTTATAGATATTGGTGCTACAGAAGAGCTCTCTGTTCGGTTGTAGACGACGTCTGTCACACATAATCTTATTTTTCATAGGAAAAATTCAATGCTACCATACATTTCAATCTCAACTTTTACCTCAGAAATCCTAAGCACTGAAAAATTCAATAGACTAAACAATAAAGACCATTTTATAGGAATTTTGAGCAGGATTATGCGTGACATACGCCTATTTATACGCTGTTTGCGCTGCTTTATGCTCGTCCATAATATGGCCAATAAGCATAAGGGTTGTATCCCATTGTGGCTATTTGTTGGTCCTTGTTTGGTCCTTGCTGTTGCTCCATTATCACTCGCTTAGCGTTCTTGTTTGCCTGAAGGAGAGTAAGGATTAGGTGGTCTGAAACAAGTTTATAAAATTGAGGCATAAATTCCACTTTTCTTTCTCATAAAGTGGAATTCAATTAAGATGTCTAAAATTTCCTCTCTAAGAACTCCAATAAGCATTTGATTCACTAGAGATTCTTTCTAAATTACTTATAACTGAAAATACGGCTTTGGCTACAAATCTTAGACGAGGTACCGATAATCCAAACACAAAATGGTTTTAGATTTTAGTGGCAAATGTTTAAGAAACGTTTTGTAAAACTCTACAACTCAACTCAACTTGAGAGTGGCCATTTTAGAGTATTTACAAATTTCTAAGCGTTCCTTATCGAATTACTAAAAAGGTGTAGCTGGTGCTTAGATTCATTAATGAAGAGATCTCATGCCCTTAGCGATTATGTCAGGACTACGGTGTAAAATGTAGAAGGCTTTAGTGCTGCCCTCAAACACTCAATAAATCCTCAATAGCAATAGATTATTGTTATAAAACACTACGCAAAGAAAAAAATGTTTCTATTGTTAAATTTTCAAGTTACAAATCACAATTTACATTCTGTATTTCTACGAGTCTAAGAAGTGACTATTTGACATCTTGGAAATTACAGTTCTTGAAAAAAATTCTAGAAAAAGTACAACTGCCATCAAAAGTTCGTTGATTTTCGTAAAAACACTTTAGAATACGTGATAATGGTAGATTATTGAAGAATCAG